CTGGATGGAGGTGTTTGGGTAAGGGACATGGAGATTGGAGGATGTATTATGAGCTTAGTTTTGGAAAGATTGGGCTTGAGGGAGTGGTTTGGCCTTCATACTGATAGTAAATTAGTGATGCGTGAGGAGACCCAAGAGGTTGGCTGAGAAGTAGAGAGACAGATTTGTGGGTTGTTGACACTGCAAAAGGTTATCAACTGCCCTAGGGAGAAGGTGCAGGTTGGGCAGGGGTAGGCATACTTGGCACTCCAGCTGTGGTAAAACAGGTACTTTTACAGGTGCTAAAGTTTCCTATCCCTGTGGTAGAGATTAGTAGGGGTCTGAGGACAGACCCTTGGGTCTCTACAGAAAGATTAGGGGATGAGATCGTATTGTGGCTAACACTATAGGTGGGCTGAGATGGGTAGGGGAACCATGGAAGAGTAGAGTGTTTTGAGGAGGAGATGGTGGTCAACTGTGTTAAAAGCAGAAAGGTCTTGGTATCAGTACAGGGTAGTGGCCATTGGCTTTAACAGTAAGATACCGGTGACTTTCAGGAGGGCAGTTTCCGTTGAGTGTTGTTAACAAAAGCCAGACTGCAAAGGGTTGAGAATGTTGGTTTTCTGTTGGAAATCTGAATTAAATTTGCCTTGCTTCGAAATACATTACATGTGAATACAGCATTGTGCAGGAAATGTATAGGAAAACTTCCTGTGTATCATAGATGAGCATACACACAGAGTAACATTGAACTACAGCGCCATCTGCAGCTCAAAAGACATATCGGCACACATGAGAATGTCAATACACTCAGTACATATCAGCATATGCTGCTGTATTTCCAACAGCGAAGATTGTGATCATTGAGGAAGAAGCTCTGGTGGTTGTGAACTAGGTGTAGACCTTTTTGGAGGTGAACTGGAGCAAGGAGATGGGTCTTAAGTTGTTCAGACTGGTGAAGTCCAGCAGGATTTTCTTAAGTAATGTGGGTGAAGGATAAGCAGGGGGTGATAAGTGCAAGGGGAAGGGAGGAGAGAGAGATTCATTGCAAGAGGACAATATTGTAATAAGAAAGCAAATTGCAGGGTGGCAATAGTGGAATCAGACTTGATAAGAAAGAGCTAGATGGGGAAATACAGGTTCACTTACAGTCTATCTGGAGTGGAGCCCTGTTAGTTGTTAGTTTTGATTGTTGTATTTGTTGTTACATAGTTAGTCAGATTGAAAAAATACACAACTCCATTGAGTTCAACCTATAGAGATATGAGAAAAAAAAGCTTAAATAGAATGCTATGCCCACAATTACCCCCTGTTGATCCAGAGGAAGGCAAAAATCCCCCTATAAAGCACGGTTCAATTTGCTCCAACAGGAAAAAAAAATCCTTCCTGATCCCATAAGGCAATCGGATATTCCCTGGATCAACAATCTCTAATGCTTAATATACCTATAAGAACTCAATATCCAGTAATATTCTGTGCATTTAGGAATACATCCAGATTTTTTTTTTTAAACAATGAACTGAGCTCACTAGAACTAGCTCCTGGGGAGTCTTATTCCACATTTTCACAGCTCTAACTGTGAAGAATCCTTTTTGTATGCAAAGGTAAACCTCTTTTCCTCCAGATGCAAAGAGTGTCCCCTTGTCCTTTTGCAGTGACCTTTTTAAAGTGAATAATTTGGCACCAAGCTCACTATATGGGCCATTTATGTATTTATACATGGTGATCATGTCCCCCCTTAATCGCCTCTTCTCCAGAGAGAACAAAATCAGGTCAGCTGATCTTTCCTCATAGCTGAACTCCTTCATGCCTCTTATGAGTTTAGTCGCCCTTCTCTGCACTTCCTCCAGTTCCACAACATCCATTTTATGAATTGGTTCCCAAAACTGAACTGCATGTTCCAGATGAGGTCTTACTAATGCTTTGTACAGGGACAGGATGATGTCTCTATCTCTGGAGTCTAGACCCCATATAATACAAGGCAGGAGGGAGATAGATGAGGTCTTACTAATGCTTTGTACAGGGACAGGATGGTTTCTCCATCTCTGGAGTCTAGACCCCGTATAACACAAAGTATTTTGCTTGCTTTAGAAACTGAAGCTTGACATTGCATGCTGTTATTGAGTCTATGGACTACCAGAACACCCTGATCTTTCTCCATCTTGTGTGGTGATCAAGTGCCGGGATACTTGGGCAGGAATGGTAAATGACTCTGCCTACCCCAGGGGTCAGCAACCTTAAACACTCAATGCGCCATTTGGACCCGTTTCCCACAGAAATGAAAACACCGGGAGCCACAAAACCCTTTTGACATCTAAAATGAAGATAACACATATATATATATATATATA